TTACCATCTGGCTGGATGGATCTGGGAGAACCATCTCTTACAGATAGCAGATGGGTCCAAGGAAGGAAGTTATTTGCTGGGTACTGAACTTTGGCACACATAATTTCACACCAGGAATAAATCTTTAGTTGAATGAATATAAAAGAGTCTATACAATGAGCTTTATTGAGGATTGCCAATTATGTTTTCTAATTTATGTACTGGACTTGGAAAGTTGATGAATGAACTCTTTGGACCAAACCTTGTGGCTTTAAACATGAATAAATTCAATAATAATACACATAAATAAAGTAAACCTACAGCATGCAGCATCATGGGAATACCCAGATGACAGCAGTTCCAGCTGTAGCTGGCTATCCTTGAGCTGGTGCCACCTCCCAATGAAACTAGCTCCCACAGCTGAGCACTTTCCCAACTAACAGCAGCTCCCAACTTCCTAGCTATAAATCAGTTTGAGCCAACTCCCAAGCTAGCTCAGCATCTGAGCCATCCTCCTTAGCTAACAGCTGTTCCCCAACTTCCTAGCCATCATTGTGCTGGCACTAGCTTCCAAGCTGATCTTTTCCCCCAGCTAACAACAGCCAGCTGGAATTCTACCTAATATACAGCTGGATGCAGATACCTGCTTTCCAGAGTTGAGGTTAACTCAATGTCAGCTTCTAAGGTTTTACTTGGTGATATCTCCCTTGTGTTTAGGAGTTGGATTTTTCTATGGGAGTTGCCATTATCTTTGTAGTAGCTACATGTGCTGCTAGCTATAAGGACAACTCCCCAACTGGCAATTATTTGCTGGGTCTCTGCCTACACAACAAAAGACAAATAAAAAATACACACTTGACATCATTTCAGCACTTTCAACAAGCATTATTCAGCAGATCTCTCCAAGTTCACTCAAATAAACGAACATTGTAGCGAAATTTACAGCTTCAAACTGCACATGGTATTACTGAAACTGAGTAGAAAAAACAAATCAAAATATGCAATTTTCCACACTTAATCACTTCTGTAAAAAATACTTTTCACAGATACACCAATGAAATTAGTGAATACTAGAAGTGTGTTAATGTATCTGCAAATCACATTTGAAGGATGACTGTGTTAATTTTGAAGTTACATGAATTGTTTTCATTAGTTTAAATTATTCTTGTTTAGAGTCCATAAAGACTCTAAATACAAGTGGAAAGAAGTTATTATGCACTACAATAACATTCAAAAGTACCGTTTGCCTAGATTTCACTCTCCTGAATTTAGGCAAGTGGATGCTTCACCAAGTTGGTGTTTGTAAATTAAAAGCACTTTCCAGGCAATCACAGCACATATCCATCCAAGAAGTGGGCGCTCACACCCAGAAATTGTCTAAAAATAGGAACACTGTTCCATTTTAGGATTTGCTGCCCAGACAGTTTTTACAAACTGAGGGACACAATAAGAATGGGGAAGTTTCCATTTCTGAAAAGGGGATAAAGGGGCATTGGATTATACAGGGTGGACCAATAAAGTGAACTGATTTTTAAATTGAAGTTGCTCAGTATTGAAATCAGCTGTAGTAATGAAAAAAACCATACGAAAGTTTGTTTAATTCCGTTTTGAATAATCTGTGGTTTCATGTTTCAGGTGCCACCACATGGTCTCAAGAACTATATTTTAATGAAAAAATTGAATACAATTTCTGGCACACAGCTGCTGTCCTCCAAAGCTGTTTTTAAGGATAACTATGGGGTGCAGGACCAGCAGTAATTCAACTGGAAAACTTATTGCTACCTTCAAGTAGGTGTGCCCCATTCTCAAAAATTAGGAGATGGGGGTGAAAAGTGAAAAAAATTGTACTGTGTGATGTTGCTCCTTTCCTGAATACAGATGTGAGCTTCTTCTGGGTGACCCCTCATAACCACTCTGACCCCTTGTATGCATGCAAATATCTCTGGTGGACAGTAGCTTAAGGCTCGAGGTTCCCTCACAACTTCTTTTTTGAAAATTTTCATTCAAATGAATCTTGTAATCATGCCATGGCACAAACAAACATGAAACATAAAAAACTCTACAACATTTGAAGTGGAATTTAGCAAGCTTTTGATTGGGTTTTCTTTCCTTGCTGCAGCTTGATTTGCTGCTGAGCAATTTGAGTGAAAACGCTCAATTTTTTTGATCCACACTGTATTAATTTAAGGAGTTGGGAATAATCATCCTGGTTCCAAAAATGTATCTTCCTTGTCCATTTTTAAAAAATTGTTCTCCAGCAGACAGAAGGGAGTTGTGAGTTTCCCACTGAGAGTAGTGAGAGGCACAGAATGAAATGGGCTATCCAGCCTGCTCCTCCAGATTCCTTCTGTCTTCCTTTTTTCTCCCTATCTCTCTGCTGAGTGGCATCTGATGACCGAGAAATCGATTCGAAGGACGCCCAGACAGTAATGCGGGATTTGAAATAGTTGCCAGGAGTATCATAGAAGGTCCGTATTCATTCAATCTTTCATCTGCTTGATGACCTCTCTTCCCAAGAGCAAGGAACCAAAGCAGGATGCATATGCTTATGGTCCGCCAGAGGCTTCTCTGTTTTGTACAGAGTTACCTGGATTTAGTGCCACCCTTTCTCCTGGCACATTTTGTGGCATTAAGCCAGCGTGGCTCTAAATGAGGGATATTGCATTCCAAAAGAGAATTCATTCCAGGTAATCTACATTATGGCTGAAATGGGCTTTTTTTTTGCAGAATTTTTGAGCCATTGAGCCTGTTTCACGAAAATAAAGGCTACACAAAACATTTTGATGCATAAATAAACTGTTTTTACTGCATTTAAATTTATGTTATATTACAGAATGAATGAATGAATGAACAGAACACTTTTTTTGCCACTTTTCAGTGTTCACGAGGTTCAATCAAGATTTCCACATCCAAACCCGCTCCCAAAATATAGCACAGAATATTTTGAAATTTTGCACAAAATGGGTCAAGTAAAATAGGAAATTTTTCTTTTCTGCTGTCAATGGAATCACCCAATTCTAAGGTGGAATGATTTTGAAAAGTCACGCCATTGAATATGTAGTCAGAAATACATTTTTAAAATTACTTTGAGTATGGAAATTTGATTCCCAGTGATAACCTAATGAGATTTTCAGAGATATGCCACAATTTCTTGAATTTTGGCCTTTTTTCCATTTAGGGCAGGAAATTTTTTTTAACACCCAGTGAATTGGCAATAATTCAAGATTTCCCTCAAAAACAAAACAAAGGGAGATTTGTTCCAGGGACATTTGAAATTTGTGGCACTATGTAAGGGTGGCACTACATTGAGGATTGACTGTATTTTGGACTGAACGCAAAGGCTCATTGTTGAGCTATGGTTCTGGAACTGTGCTCAGCAGAGCCCTGGAAATTCTCAATGGGAAGTTTTCTGATGGTTTCACCTGCACTATATGCTAACCACTTCAGCAAAATCAGTTGAAAGAGAAAAGATGGGATGTACAGTACTTAATAGTAGGCAGAGGCTTCAAATGCAAGTGACTTAGGACTGTCAGGAGTTTGAGTAAACATAAGAAAAGACATCACCAAGTTCACTATGCCAGCAAATATAGATGAATCCATTCTTCCTCTGATGTTTCTTACTTTCAAGTTGTAAAGTGGGTTTACCTCCTTTGGTAACCGAAAAATAGTTTCACCAAAATTCACCTTGCGACTCGAAATTTCAACATCAAGCCACATTTTTTCTCCTTCACAACGGATGGGGGAACTATTTTACATTAGGGTAGAACCATAAACTGCTATGAGTGAGGAAACGCATTTTGAAGGTGACTCCAATTGTTCACCTGTTTATGCCCACATTTCAACAGCATTTTTGTCACTCACTTCTTTAGTACTTTACAAAGTATGCAGGTCAAGCACTATTTCTTTCTGAACAAAGTGTGACTTGATTCTTTCAGGTTTCATTTCAGGCCAAGGTTGGGAGGAATGATTCAAATTAATCACCTGTTTTGAGAAGTAAAGAAGCTGGAAGGCTTTCATTTGTAGCTAGATGAAGAAACAGAAAAAAATGTAATCAACGTCAACTGGATAATGAAGCAAGATATATTATTTTTACACTAGCAATGGATAACTAACGATGGCAATTTATCCATTGAAAATAAAATTTTATTATGTCTGAAGATGGGTTTAAAATGATCCATATGCGGAATCATTTGGCTTTATCCTAACCATTTTGATTGATGTTGCTTTTTTAGTGAATCTTCTTATTTCTAAGTCTCATCACATCCTTCAATGCCTAATGTGCATTCTCACTGACCATATCAGCAACCCATATTACCCTCTCCTTTGCTAAACCAAAATTTTTTTTTGAAAGAGAGGTGCTAAGGATAATTTTCTTCCTAGATTTCACCTTCCATTTATGAACCAAGAACCAGTCACAGACACAATTTGAATGGGAAATTTGAGACTGTGCTTGATGACTTCATTATAGAGATTTTTTGTCTAGAAAATCACATGTTCTACAGAAAAGTTTGTTACACTGGAATTTGAGAGTTTGTTGTTATGAGATTTTTATAACATTTACCCTATAAGGATTCCTGAAATTCATGACTTGGAAAGTGTTTGTCATATTGAGAAATCTGTTGTAGGAGTATATTTTTGCAGCAAGATTTTACTGTATTGAAATCTTAATGTTGCAACAAATTTGTGGGACCTTCAGATATATTTTATTGCAAGAAAAACAATTTTAGATGGTAAGATTTTCAAAATTATTGACTTAAGGGAATATTTTGAAATTGAATCCGCACATATTCAACATATTTTATGGTGTTCTTGGATGTTTTTCAGTGTTTGAAAAATTGTGATCTTCAAAAAATTAAAAATACTTTTGCCGTCGTGATGAATAATGTTCTGAATTGAAGGACTAAATAGCGTACAGGTTGCGGTTCAGGCCAGATGAATGATAATAACCCCAATTAAGGAGTCATTTTTCTTCCCCCAATCCCATCACAGAACCCACAAAAACCATCAAAATCCACAGCACATTCGCATAAGCAGCAGCACAGACGGTCAACTTTATTAAAAATCAGAGTAAAGTCCAATCATATTGTAGAATACTGTGTATAAATACAGAAAAAAAAGGCCGCCGAATAATGTCCGCTTGAAGCACCAACGAAGTCAGTTAATGCCGGCTTTGGATCACGATGATGATGATGTTTATGCGGACTCCACATTATTAGTTCTTGCACGGCACCACCTCGATCGACTCCTTCACCCAGAAAAGGTCCTTCTTGTGCACAACAGACACCCTTTGGAATAAAACAAAAAATGATAAGTATAATAATAAGAGAATGGCTTCAGGCAATGTTGCAAACACGCAGCATGGATGACTAATGAGGATAATGGGTGTGAAGAGCGTTGAACCGAGAAGAGTTCCAAGCTGGCGTTGGTCGAGGTCATGGCCGGACTTCCGCGTGTACGTCACGGGCCACTTTTATCCAAACCCACACACTACTGTACAGTATTGCATACAGGAACTCACATGAAATTGAGTGAGGTCACACTGTTGAGAGGAACCCAAGCGTGCTTCACCTGAGTCACTGCTGGAGCTTTGCGTGGACGATGATGCACTGCGTTCTGTTGATGAATATAGAAATTAAATGTTGATCATATTATTCTGCCACATGCATAGAAGCAGAAAAAAAAACACTCAATAATTTCCCCATCATAACCCGACAGGGATGAATTCCATCCAAACTATGCTCAGATGATATTTTAAAAGAGGTAAGGAACTTTAATTTTGAAGATTTTTCGGGAAATTATAAAATCTGGTACTCTTGGATGGAACAAAAATTCCAAGCATGACCCTGATGTGGCTGAGGACACTATACTGTATTATTATTGCAGAATGTGTCTACAGGTAGACAAGAAATAAACATCAACACCTTCATGGGAATGGATATGAAAAAGGGCAACACCATGTAGGTATTGTACTTGGAAAACCATGAGCAGAAGAAAGCCAAAGATTATTCCAAGGTCATCTTCTTCAAAACTTGCCAACATGTTTGGACGCCAGCAAACGTTTTCAAAAACAAATAATGACCGAAAAGAGTGAAATCTTCTGAAAAAAAACTCATTCTACTGGGGACCTCAAACTAAGTTAAAAGGAATAATTTCCTATAAGAAGATTATTCAACATTTTTGGCTGATGGGATTTTTTTAAAGATAAACCTGAATATATCCAATTTGCATATAGCCTTTAGTGATCTTCACAAAAATTAAATTTTATTAACAAACATTTACTCTGAATAACAGGTGAACTCTAGCAGATGTTTGTGGACTGTAAGTTTTCTGAGGCATTTCCACAAAGATTTGTCTGGGCGGATGCTCCAAAAAGTCTCAGACCTTTTAAACATCATTAGGGTCTGTGAAGCATGCAAAACCCTTTTGAATGTGAGTTTTGTTGGCTTATTTATTTTTTCATTTAATCCCCTTCCTATTCCAACATATTTCCAAATGCAGGAACAATGTTTGAAAGAAAGGATGTTCAGGTGCATTTTGAAGAATTTGTGTCCTTGATTCCACCTTCTATTCATGGCTCAAAAACAAGTCACTGTCACAGTTTTGAATAGGATATTTGAGAATGTGCCTGAAGGACTGACTTTTTTTTTTTCAGCCAGGAAATCAAATCATGTCCCATAGAAAAGTTTGTTGTACTGGAATTGGAGAGTTTGTTGTAATGAGATTTTTAAAACCTGTGCCATATAAAATTTCTGTTCGGACTTGAAAGAATGAAGTGTGTTATACTGAAAAAATGTTGTATAACGGTATTTGTTGTAACACAATTATATTGTACTGCCCAATAAGTGGAATGCATATAATGATGAATGCGAAAATAGTTGCTATTCTATAGAGTTATTCTCTATGATGATTTATTTTTTCATGAAACAATGTTTACCATTCTGACACTTACTATATACGCTTGACTTTCTACATAGACAGATTATAAAATTCCAAGGGTACCAGGAACGTTACTCCGCTTACAGCAGGGCGATGGCAATGAGGGAAGAAGGAGCCTTGGCTTACCACTCCATTCTTGGCGTTGCAGCTGAGAATCTGGTCCGCCTGGGCAGTGTTCCAGTTACCGCTGAGGATTTCTCCAGTGCAAGCATCCCGTGCCTCGATCAAGTACCCAAGAATTCTAACGTCCTTGTCCAGAGCATCCAATTGAACTAATACAACCCAAAATGGGAGACAGTTGAGCCTCGAGCACAAGTCACAGTTTTTTCAAGTCCCCTTCTCATTTCCCTCAGAACTTCAGAACCAATGCATTATAAAAAACCTAACAAATTCCAAGTCTTTTATTCCACTCAAATTTTGGTAAGTCAAATTTTCTGTGGCCTTTTGACTATCATTTTTATGACATGGAAAAGAGAAAAACCAATAAAAGATGGAATTTGACCTGTTTTGAAAGGAATAAGTAAAAGACTAATTGGGCAAAGGAACCCCTGCCTTCAATTTCAGCCTCTCCTCAACTCATTCAACATATCATCTGTTGCTATGTACATATGAGAATTATTTGAAAACACTCAACAAAATCTCTCACTGGAGTATTTTTTTTTCTCAAAACTATTGGGGATACAATTTAAATCTCTGAGACCCAAGTCACTATTCTGGTCAAATATTTTATCTGCGGTAGAATAGGATTGTCTTGCTAGGGATTTGAAAATCAAGGATTTTATCTGTTGATGTGCCATTTGAAGACAACAACAAAATCATTACTCTAGTGCTCAACAAAATATCCCAGTGTACAATTTTTTTGTGGCAATTCTTCCATTTTTCTCCCAGCGACAAGAATGCTCATAAATATCTGACATTGGAGGATTTTCTGTACTCTTTGCCAGTATGCAGAAGCAAATAAATCTTCAAGACCTAAATGCCTAATTTGGTTGTGCATTTCATTTGTAATAGTACATAATTTTCTTGCTATAGTGTTACAAAGATCAAGGATTTCATTTATTCATACCATGCCATGAGTCAACAAAAAGCATTTAATTAATAGGACCAAAAAATATCCCAGTTTACAATATTTCCTGCAATTTGTTCCCCCTCTGCAACAAAAATGCCTAGCTTCATGTAACGCGAATCTCTACATAAAACTCAAAACCTCCTAGATACAGTTGACCCCTAAACAACACACCTCTTGTACAATTGATTTTTGCTCAATGGACCAGCACATCTGGAGGCAGTTTTCCCACCTACACAATGGACTAAATCCACCCAACAGACTTCTATATCACTGGTGAAAAGTAGGCATTTTAATTTTTTTCAACAATTGAATTTGCATAATAGACTTTTCACAAAACAGATAAAAAAAAACTAGTCTAATTTGAAAAGTCAGCTTCACGTGGGTTGACTGTACAAGTCAAGAAGTCCAGGAAACTGCTGATAGTTCCTTCAAATTTCAACTGCTTTGCATTATCGAAAAAATGAAAGACACCTGATTGAATATCGACAGCATGTACTGCATATGAATGATCAAAAAAAACATACCGTGGTAGTAGCCACCCTCCTCGGCAACAGCAGACGCGTTCAAGGAAAAGAAATCAGGGAAAGTGGAGTTGGGCTGGGCACTCGCTCCATGCGCCGGCTTCATCGTCTCGCACAACTTGGCCTTGTCCCGAGCCCACGTCGGGTGTCCTTGGCCACTGGCAATAAGAAACGCCGCGATCACGGAGGCTACCAGCAGAACCAAACGCTCCATCATGTTGGTCACCAGAAAGAACCGCTGAGACGCACGAGAAGAACACACCTGATGTCACAGACCAAAGGACAAACCACTTTTATTCTTACAATAATGGTCAGAGAAACAAAAAGGATTCTATACAATAGCCTGTACAGTATAGCCATACATGGACTGAAAGAGATAAAACAAACAAAAAACGTATGAGACCTGCTTCTTACATTACTGAAAAATTGATAAAAATTGTTTCTTCAAGTTATATGAAGAAACGACAGTGTCAAAGAAACCCTCATAGAATCTGATATTTTGGCATCAAAAGGAGCCCAATTACAAGCAGAGACGAAGAAGAAGTAACAAAGAGGCAGAAGTAGTAGAGTTAGTAAGAATAAGTTTATAAAGTAATGACGAGGATTCTAATGTGGAACTACACATACCCTGAGATGAAAAATGCACAAAAACACCTGCCAAGAACTCAAGGAAACCTCTTTTCTATTGGGGTGGTCAAAATAATACACTGAGACCCCAATATGTGGACATCCCATCAAACATCCTAGCTGACTATTCAACTTAGGGACACTTTGAACACAAAATATCTGGCCCAGCTTGCAGATCTTGGCTCAAAAAGGATATATTAGGGACACTTTTCTGACATCTTCCATAAAAATCAAGGAGTTCCATTTTTATACTGGAAACTTGGAAAATATTTTATGATAAATTCACTGTAATCCACAAATCAAAAGCAATCTAATTTTGTGCTTATTTTTCAGGTTTTTCTTTCCTATCATCTGTGCACATTATAGCAAGGCCTATTTCTTGTTGTATGCTTGTTATTGGGCTCATTTTCATGACAAAACATCAGATTCTATGTGGTTCTCTTCTGCATTGTTCATTTTTCTACATACTGTACCTTGAACTGGTGGGAAACAATTTACTGTATATCAAATGTTTGGAGGACTTATTCCTGGCTTTCAACAGCAATAAAATATGTTTGCATTAGAGCCTATGGGAGAACCAGGGTCCAAATGTGGAGGACTATCAAATAAATACCCAAACAACGTCAAAGCACCAAATCTGCAGGTCCCACTGAAAAATAGAGGAATATTCCAACATTTAACCTGATCATCAGGGACTTGGATGAAAAACGCACAGGACAACACCTTTTCGCGCAGCTTCTTAACATGGTCAATCCCACAAAAAGAGGATTCTAACCTGTATATAATAACCAGGCACAACACGGACCGAGATATAGAAGATGAGTCATCCGCACCGGACCAAAGTCCGAGTGAGACTGCGGAAGCGATCCACGACTCTCTGGGGTTCACCTTCAATTTATCAACCGGGCAATAAATGCTGAGATGGAGTCTAACCAGTCAACAACCAGCAGCAGGTGCCCCGGAAAACAAACCAGAGACCTCCCCTGGTTATATATGTATAAATATAAATATATATATCCTGTATATATATATATACATATATATGCACAGAACGCGCATAGCATATCATTATACTGTACCCCTCATGGGGAAGGAAATTTCCTCCATCCCATTTCCTGGTGTCAAGAAGTAAATCTTACTATGCAAGGGTTGGTTCAAAAGTCTTGGGACTTGATTACTTTCCACTTACTGCTGAGAGAGGCAAACAAATTTTTTTTTCAGGTGCTCTTCAATGCTAAAGCATCATTGTCTATAATGATTTGATTTACCCATCACAGCAAAGGAATTTGAAATATGGAATAAATTCCTTGCATATAATCCTGCTTCTCAAAATTGTGAGACAGTTTCAATCCAAGCAGGAAAAAGGGTTTAAAATCATAAAGAATATATTTTCATGCATTAAAAATGGGGAAAATAATCTTTTCCAAAATTGTCCTGATGTAGTGGTCTAATAAAAGTGACAAGAAGGTATTCAATAAGGCTGAACAATTTTATTACACCACTACATCAGGAAATTTTTGGAGAAGCTTATTATCTCCATTTTTTAGTGCATAAAAGTCTATTTTTCATGTTTTCTGATTATTATTTTTTTTTCTATTTTTAGTGATCAGAATATATTTTGCATATGTATCACTGAAAACAGATTTTATCACTAAATCTTGCTTGCATTGCATTGTGCTTGCTCAATCACAGGTTCTGTGTCAGGTCTCTCTTATTTCTCATGCCAAGAAAAATACCTACCAGAACCTGCAAATGAACTCAAACCCTGTGAAGAGATGCCCTTCATTTTTCACCTGTGCAACAGAGCACATTTGGGAATAAAGTACTGTTCAGGAATCCTCAACCATTCTGGTGTATTTGACTTGAAGGAAATGAAGGAGGAAAAGTTTCTGGTAGTACGGGAAGGCATGCTCTCAAAAGTTTTTTTTTGTAGAAAGTTTCATATTTCTAAAATTTTCAGAAAAGCAGAGATTGTAGAAAAAACAAACAAAGTACTAGGAAACAAAATTTCAAATTTTGAGGACAAACACAAGGCCGGCAAATTAAATTTGAAGTGCTTTCAATTTTCTGTAAAAAAATAAATTTTGTTCACAAGTACAAAAACAAAACAAAAATCACTGAAGTTGAAGAAAACATTGGTTCAACAAGTGGAGAAAGTTTCAAGTCAATTGAATGAGTAGATGTCACTATAAAATTGATTTTTATTATTTTCAAAAATTGCAGAATATTTTTTTTAATAAAAACTTTATTTTTCATTTCAACATTTTATAACTCTTGCAAAGTTTAAAGAAATGCTTGATGAATACAACCCCAAGCTTTGAATCAATTTTAACAGTTTGAAATAGGTTAGAAGAAGCGTCTCATGATAATTTGTGTTTTCTGAATTTTACAATTTTCATCTCAACCAAAAATTCTGATATTTTGAAAAATCTCCATTGTCATTGATGTTTGACAAGTGTGGTGATTTTCTCCTAGATTAGGAAGTTTCAAGTGTGTTTGAGTTCAGTTGCAAACTGGGCTGAATCTAGATACCCCTTACACTCTTAGAGCAGTGGTGCCCAACTCAAAACTGGTGGCAGGCCACATAACAAGGAGGAAAGTCTTTGTGGGCCACATGAAAAAAATAGCGTGTTATCTTAACTCCCTTGTAAAAATGTTCTCTTTGGTCGCGTCAACAAAAAAATAAAATATCTGATTACAAAAATATTACTGCACAATATATTTCTGTTGCTATGGTACACAGAATCACACTTGAATATATATATTCCGATATAACAGTCACGCAAGCAGAGTCAAGACAATATAAAGAAGTCTTGCTAAAGTATTGCAAGTCTTCTTGAGAATAATCGCGAGAGTCAGGTCCAATTCTCTAGTGGGATTCTTCTGGGGATTTTGAGGAAAGACTCAAGTTTATATAGCTTCTAGACTATTGGGTTCATGACATATTTCTTGGATGCAGTGGTGCATATCCAGGTTTTGGAACCAGGATGTGTATCTCAGGAACTAGCACAGAATTTATTATTGAATAGTAGAAGCCGAAATTCTGTGGAACATCATATCTTTTAGTTATTCTAAATTAAAAATAAGCTAAATAGGATAACAATATCAATGACTTACTTGAGCTCCAATTGGTTTTTTCAGATGCAGAGGTTTGAAATAACGATAGAAAGGTATTTGCCCATCAATTTGCCAGTTTGGTCAAATCTGACAATCTGGATACTTAGTTTCGCAGAGAGGAGACTACGCGAAGTACTTGCTCTCGGAGTTTCAAAAATTTGATCACTGGTAAAAATCAATTCAACACAAGAGGGTAACTCACCCCTCCCAAAAAATAAAAAGTCCGATAACATAAGGGTTAAAACTACCGACTGCGCCAATTTTGTTATCCTAACTTGCTTGTAAAAATGTTCTCTTTGGACGCGTCAATATATAAATAAAATATCGGTTTACAAAAATATTACTGCACAATATATTTCTGTTGCTTTGGTACACAGAATCACACTCGTATATATATTCCAATATAACAGTCATGCAAGCAGAGTCAAGATAATATAAAGAAGTCTTGCTAAAGTATTGCAAGTCTTCTTGAGAATAATCGCGAGAGTCAGGTCCGATTCTCTAGTGGGATTCTTCTGGGAGCTAAAGTATTGCAAGTCTTCTTGAGAATAATTGCGAGAGTCAGGTCCGATTCTCTAGTGGGATTCTTCTGGGGATTTCGGGAAATGACTCAAGTTTATATAGCTTCTAGACTATTGGGTTCATGACATATTTCTTGGATTCAGTGATGCATATCCAGGTTTTGGAACCAGGATGTGTATCTCAGGAACTAGCACAGAATTTATTATTGAATAGTAGAAGCCGAAATTCTGTGGAACATCAATTACCGTAAATAACTGTCAGCAGGAAAAGGAACATTAAATGAGGGCCTGAAGATGAAATGGGTCATGCATATCTGAGTCAGGCAAACGCGAAGTCGCTGAACCAGAACAAGGAGAAAAATATATTCATGGGAAAGTTTCTTCCCATGTTCATCTTACTTGGAAAAGAAATTAAGAGAGAAGAAACTCGAAACATAACGTCGAGTAGTTTGCAGGATAACAACTCACCCTGGGCAATAAAAAAAAAGGTTGCCATGCCTTTTTCTCGAAGTGCAATAAATAAGAGCGTTCCAGGAAAAGTTCAACAGCTGAGTTGTTTAGCAAAACAAAAGCGTCGTGCTCGTTTCCTGTCGCGCAAGTGCACAAGTGTCAAGGATTTATTGCCGTGCTTCTGAGGAAGGGGCATCAAGGCCGTGAGGCGCAGGCGAACCCTTGGAAGCCGGTGGATTTTGACAAGTTGGCTGGCAGTGCCAATAGGAGGTCAACCGGATCGACATGTCCAGGTTTGGTGTGAGTGTCTTTTAGTTTCTTGTCAACAGCATGTTTCGCGGAGTTTCTTCGGCGTTCGGAAAGTTTTACAGAGTTTTTGTTTTCTGTCAAATATAGGGGGATCTCTTTTTGCTTTTGTTTAGTTTCTGGTTCGGTGATTTCATTTTTCGCGAAAAATAAAAGTAGAGGTTTCTTGAAATACGATAAAAATAAAAGTACTCGCAAGAAAAATGGTTTCACTGATGAAGGTACGTGATACGCGAATCAGTCTTGGCATAGTTGATTGATTGTGTGTTCT